CCCATACAGTAACTTTGGGTTTCTGGTGCTGCAATTGCGGGTTAGCATCTCTCCATTATCTACAATTTTGTCTGTTGGCATGCCCAGTTAAGTGGAAATGTGCCTCGTCTGAGAAAAAGATGTTATTAAAGCAGACACGACCTCAATACAGTTCTTTAATTGTTCTATATAATTGTCCCAATTATCACTTTGTAAATTAATTTCATGAAATTTCACCGATTTATGTTCCATTGTTCCACTTTTTACACTACGTCGCCACTGTTAGATCCAATAAAACACCGTAATTTAGGTAAATACGTATATTGTGCTAAGTAGCCAAACTAATGACAAACTGTTGACTTAACTAACATTATTTCTTAACAATGTTATACAAGTACCCACATTCATAACTAACACAATCCATGATATATAACAGTATGGATGTGAATGTAAATCCTTGAGTAGAATACGATTTAGAGATGTTCTGGACAAATTTAAAACACTAGACTGCTTTCGAGCAGAGAGGCCAGTTAGATCTCTAACAGATGTTCGTACGCGCTCTATGTTTACGGGTTTTCGCGACGTCCTAGGTCCTGTCTTATCGAACTTCAGTAGTTGATGGAGCGTGATTTCTATTCCGTATGTTGTACTGAGAACAGTATTTTCGTTGTACTTCAGTCGTGGAATAGTTGTTGTGATAGTACTCGTGTACGCAAAAGCGCGTTATGCGGTGAATGACGCCATGCTATTAAATTCCTATTTACCGTTCTGGCATTTGGTAATGCCCCCTAAAAGATACATGCCAGATCAAGTTGCAAAACAAACTCATTTAATCAAATCTACCTTCCATATATATAACAATTTTACCCTTAACATTATCAATACATAACATAATACCTTTCTATCCCAATAACATGGTTACAATCATAGTTAAGGACTTAAGTTGAAATAAACCATTTTAATTATTATCTTTCATTATTTGTTTCTAATCACCAATGACCAACAGCTTTTTTTGCCAAACCTTAATTACAATATTAATCAGTACTTGGTATGCCCATAATTTCCGGCCACATTTCTGGTGGTGGTATTTGTATTGGTGGGTCAGACCCAGAAGACGAATTTGATCTTCTACGTGATTGAGGTATTGGCAGGTCATCGGGGGTCTGGTTCTCGATTACGGCAGTAGATCGCGCCAGTATTTGGTCAACATGTCGACGGATTAACAGTCCATCTTCCGTTCTCACCTTATAACAACCAGGGCCCTCGATATACTCAATGGTTGCGCGTCGTCACTTCTCTCCTGGCGGCCCATAGGCACGCACCAGCACGGGCTGGTCGAGCGCGAAGGCTCGGGTGGGCGCACGCTGTGCTGCCTCCTCCAGCTGTCGCTCAGAGCGCTCTGGCCCGCTATCGGGATGAAGGGCCGACACCGCAGTTTTATATTTACGTCCATTCAACATCTCTGCAGGAGTTTTACCGAGGTGATTCGGCACCGTTCTGAGAGAGTATAACACCCTAGGTAGTTTCTCAGTCCATGATACACCTGCATCAGACATTTTCTTGAGCTTGTTCTTGAAGGTCTGTATCGCCCGTTCGATTTTTCTGTTCGTTGCCGGGTAATATGGGGGTGAGTACAAGTGCTCGATGCCATTGTTTTGCAGGAATTTATTAAATTCTCTTGAGCTAAAAACTGTACTGTTGTCCGAAATTAATTTTTCTGGCAATCCCTGCGAAGCAAACATCCTGCGACAACTTGCTATTAGAGCTCCACTACTCATATTAGATAAAATATCTGCCTCAAACCATTTGTTATAGCTGTCAATCATAACAAAAAATGTCTTCCCCCTGAAATGGTCCTGCAAAATCAACATGGACATGACTCCATGGCTTGTCAGGTAAAATCCATGTATGCGGATCTCTTGGTGGATTGTTTCTCACGGCCTGACAGAGCTCACAGCCAGTCACTGTGGCCTCTATCTGAACGTCCATACCGACCCACCATACGTATCCTCTAGCATAGGCTTTCGTTTGGACGATTCCAGCATGCGGTGCATGCAATACCTTTAATACCTGCTTTTGTAAAGAAGCGGGTATAATGACTCCATTACACCGCAATAAACACTCTTTATATATGTGAAAGAGCCTCTCTTCGCGTCCAATACGGCTGAAATATGGGATCAGTATTTTTGCAAGTCCATCCATGTAGCACATGAAATAAAACCTTTTGTAGTACTGGGTCTTTTTTAGTCTCAGAAGCAATTTTCGCTGCATCCAAGTTGAATCCAGAGGGAGGTTCCTCCAAAAGTAGCACATCGGCTAACGAATCCATCCCTCGCACTTAGAAGTCCAACGGCTGAGAGCATCTGCATTACCAATGCATTTTCCGGGACCATCGCACATCTGTATTTTATGTCATATTCATAACACGCCAACTTCAGAGACCATCGCAACATTCTAGGTAAAGCTCTTTATCAATTTGTCCTTAACGTCGCTCGTGGGGTTGTAACGTTCTGGATGCCATCATCACTGGTCGTTCTGACCCATTCTCCATTACATGGGCAATTATTGCACCTATACCATATTCCGATGCATCACAGATTAACAATAACTCTCTTTTTAAGTCATATCCAACTAAGGTTAAATCTGATGACAACAAATCCTTAGCTTTATCAAATGCAACCTGCTCCAGCAAACCCCATACCCAAGGTTTCTTTGCTTCCAGCAATCGATGCAATGGCTCCAGTATTGTAGCTTTGTCCATAATGAATTTTTCATAAAAATTGTATAACCCTAAAAATGCCCATAGCTCTTCTTTGTTCATCGGTGCTGGTTTCTCCTTTATCTCTCACTTTAGTAGGTGATGGGTGCAATCCCTCTGCATCAATCATATGTCCTAAAAAACTTATCTGATTTGACGCAAACACACATTTGTCCAGGTTTAACCGAAAGAACCCCATTGCATTTAGTTTGGTCATGACCACCCTTAGTCTTTGATCATGCTCCTCCTTATTCTTTCCACTAACAGCGACATCATCCAATAGACATGCTACGCCTTCAATACCTGCGAGTGCAGTCGACATCACACGCTGGAAGATTCCAGGAGCTGCATTTACTCCAAATGCTAGCCGGTTCATCCTCATTAACCCTAACGGAGTATTCAGTGTTAACAGCATAGCTGTATCCTCATCCACTTTCATTTGCATGTAAGCCTGTTTTAAGTCAATCTTACTGAAAATTCTTCCACCACTTAATTTCACAAAGGACTCATTAGCAGCTGGTAATGGAAATGTATCAGTCTCAATGGCTAGATTAACAGTTGACCTGTAGTCACCACATATTCGAAGTGAGCCGTCATCCTTTTTTACAATTCTTAATGGAGTAGCCCATTTAGAGTATTTTACAGGGGTTAATATACCTTCATTCACCATGCATCTTAATTGTTCCTCAACTTGTTTTATCAGAGGAAATGGTACCGGTCGTGCCTTCAAAAACCGTGGCACGGCATCAGCTCGCACATTTAATGACACTTGAGGAACCTTATACTCTCCAAGTCCTTCTTTGAATAACTCCGGAAAAGATTTTAATAATTCATCAACTTTCTCATCATCTGTCCAGCATATACCAGCTATCTCTAAGCCCAAAATTTTAAACCAGTTTCTTCCTAAAAGGCTAGGCCCACGACCAGAAACAACCAGTAGCTCACATTGTGCTTCTTTGTTTCCTAATGACACTCGAATATGAGCTCGACCTAACACCTTCAGTTCATCACAGGTCCACGTAACCAACTTCACGCCTGTCGCCTCTAAGGGTGGGGGAACAGACCACAGCTTATAGTATGTATCTTCAGCCATGATTGTCCTTGAAGCACCTGAGTCCACTTCCATGCTAACCTTTACCACATCAATCATAACATCTGCTTTGAATGGTGGTCGAATATTATCTGAGCAAACAAAGACACCCATCATCTGTTCAGATTTTTATTTTCTCTATTTGAAGTTGAACTTTCCTCCACCTGGTGCAACTTGCCAGATTTCTTCATACAGGCCGGCGCAATATGTCCAAACTTCTCACAATAAAAACATTTTGCTTTTATAAAAGGACACCTTTCACCGTCGCTGTGTGACCTTGCACAATGACGACATGTAATTGCTTTAATTTTACCAATATCCATAGGAACTGTGGATGTGGACGGAGTTTGCTTCATCACACTTGTTTCCAGGTACAAATCTGAGAATGTGCCTTGATAGTTAAGGCTCAACTGCACTGCTAACTCATAAGTAAGATTTTTCGTCTTTAACAACTCGCGACGGAGACACTCTTCACACACACCTAACACTAATCGGTCCCGTAGTTGTCTTTTTAAGTCCATAAAATTACACCTGGAAGACAGAGAGCCAATGGCCGCAACAAAGTCCTGAATACTATCATTAGGACTTTGTTGACGTTTATGTAATTTATCAGTATGTAAAATTTCATTCAGTTGAGGTTCATAGAATTGGTCAAGAACTGCCAAAATGTCTTTAATTATCACAGAAGTCGGCCTTCTAGGCACCAATAATGAAACAATTAATGATATATGTTTACTTTCCACATTATGATAGGAAAATGGCGCGGGCTTTGTCTTTAACCCAGAAAAAAAAAAACATTATCACCAATTACATCCGCGGCTTCCAGAGCACACAATAAACATTCTTTATATTCACTCCAATTGTCAGTCCTGGGATCAAATTTTCCGGGAAACACTACATTTGTCAAATTACACGCCATATTACTACTTAAACTAATTAATTTTCCTCGTCGCCATTAAAAGATACACGCTAGTACAAGTTGCAAAACAAACTCATTTAATCAAATCTACCTTCCATATATATAACAATTTTACCCTTAACATTATCAATACATAACACCCCCCCTACCCCACTCCCCGCAATTCAAAGCATCTACTGATTCAAATATTACCAGACTTTTGGTCCACCCTGTATATATTTTTTAATTAAAGAGCATATTTAAATAAAACATACCAGTTAAATCTCTTAATGTCACAAGTGGGTCCATAGCAGATCTGTCAACACTTTCAACTAAAGCAGTAATAATTTGGGCTTTTCTAAATTTCAAATTACCGTTGAGAGCAAGTTGTTTGACAGTTTTTATTGTTTCTATAGATTTTAAATTCCAGTTATTTATATCTTCTGTCAGTCTTTTCCAGAGCGCTGATTCAAACAAACCTTTTTGTAATGGATTTTGTGAGAAGTCTATATCCTGGAATAATGTTGTAAAAGTTTTATTTTAATTTAATACAGCAACAATTTAGAGTAGTGTAATACTATATATATATATACTGACCATTTCATAGCCTGGTGGATTATACTAAACCATCTACTTTATTGTAGATCTTGGGTTCAAATACAATCAATTTTTAAATATGAATATTTATTTAATAAATAAAAACTAGATTTGTAGCCATTATTATTTAACACTTGTAGATTTTATGTATAATTTAATTAAAAAGAGAAGATTTCTATCGATAAACCCATAATTTTTTTTAATTTTATTGTTAATTTCCAATTAAAGTTAAATAGCCTTCGTATAGTGATTTCTAGTGACTTTTAGAGTTGATCTAGCAATTTTAATATTTTTTCAGGTGGCAACACTGAATATGAGCAAATAATAGCTTCCCACTAGGCATGTCGATTCACTCTTAAAAAAATCGATCTCTGAATCGATTCGAATCGAAGATACTAGAATCGATTATCGATTAAATCGAGGATTAAAAGATCGATTTTCGATTAATCGCGACATATTCAAACATGAAATTTCAAGAATTTGCGATTTTTTCTTTAATTGAACTTTAATATTTTTTGAAATTAAAATATTAGTAATCATATTAATTAAAATTACTAATATTCCTTTTAACCTCTCCTGGTAAGCTTGAAACGCTTGTTTTAGGGGTGGTTCGCTACTCGATCCCTTTTTTAGGGTTCCGTAGTCAACTAGGAACCCTTATAGTTTCGCCATGTCTGTCTGTCCGTCCTCGCTTAATCTCTGTGACCGTTAGCACTAGAAAGCTGAAATTTGGTACCAATATGTGTATCAATCACGCCGACAAAGTGGTAAAATAAAAATTGGAAAAAAATGTTTTATTAGGGTAGCCCCCTATATGTAAAGTGGGAAGTGATTTTTTTTTAATTTCAACCCTAACGTGTGATATATTGATGGAAAGGTATTTAAAAGTGAATAGGGGTTTACTACAATCATTTTTTGATAATGTCAATAATTTCGGAAATAAGCTCCAAAAGTTAAAAACAATGTGTCCCCAAAAAAATCTGAAAAGTAGAACTTTATAAGGACTTTCTAGGAAAATTATTTTGAACTTGGATGGAAACAGTAGTACCCACTACCGGGAGCAGTTGCACGAGCGCGGAGCGCTGCTGCAACTGCTCCCGGTAGTGGGTACAGCACTACCCGGTACTGCACCTTTAAACTCATAAGTGGAAACACTTATTGTGACGGACGGGAAACTACGGAACCCTACACTGAGCGTGGCCCGACACGCTCTTGGCCGGTTTTTTACAAAGTGATTCCATGTATCACTTTTATTTGACATTTTAGGCTAAAAACAACAACAATACTTTAACAAAAGGGCAAATTACAACATACATTTCTCGATATTCACTATTTATCAAATTGAAATGAATGCTACATGAACACAATACTGGTTATTTCCTTACTATAAACCTTTATGAACTTCAACATATAATATTTATTTACAGCATCTAGATATATAGAAAGTACTCCGTCTGTACTTACAGCTCACAGTATGAATGTTTTTGATAATAAAGTAAATTCGCAAGTTCACAGTTCAAACAGGTTCACAGCTATAATATTAAATTGTAGTATGTATATGTAGTTTTGTTCACAGCACAGATTAAGTTAGACCAACATTCCACGGGTAAGAATAGAATTAGAAATTTAGATATGAAAATGAAATGACAACTTTTCAATATTGTTGGATGCGTTCATAAATATTTATTTTATTCAAATATACAATATGTAACGCAATTAACGCACACCCTCAGACACCCCAATTAGTATATTATTATGTTATAACCATAATACATACACTGAATTTTTAGTTAAACATTTTTATGCTCTGATTATTTATCAAATTAGTTATACTAATTCCGGAAGAATGTTGTGGTCACAGTACAAATCCACGAACGCAAAGACTTTAACGTGCTTGAAATAAAGTTCATTTTCTTTATTTTTATTGAATGACAGAATTAGTAATAACACAAATAAAACTGCACTCTTAAAAGTCTTATTGCCTTAAGTTACGGTCTATTTCATTTTGTTTTGACTGTACAGATTTAGTGTGACTGTAATTTACGTAGTTTTAATTATTTTTGGGATAAAAAAATTACCTATATTAAAAATGATAGGAATCGATTCAGTAAACAATTCTGAACAAACTACTTTTTCAAAGTGCGTTAATTATGTTACGTTTTGTATATTGCGTTCAAATTATCAACCAAGTAAGATCGGTTGTTTTTGCGTCCCCCAACAGCAAAAAATTAAAAAACTGCGGTATCTTACCCCAGCCAGTTTGGGAATTTTATCGCTGGTTCTAGAATCAGATGAATCGGTCCGATTCGAGAGGTTTTTGGATCGATTCAGTGAATCGATGCGGTGCTCCAAATCGATTCAAAAAATCGATTATTTTGCTCCAAAGAATCGATTTTTCGATTAATCGATTTTAGATCGACATGCCTACTTCCCACAACTTCGAAAGAAGTTGCCCTGGTCAAAACTGGATTATTGGATATCATTCATACTGCATTTGCACTTATCTAATAAGTACAACAAAATATAGCAATTATTTTAATTATTTATTCACAATAGCATACTTAGAGATAACATAGAGGATTTTTTTTTCTAAAACCTTTAAGACAATAACCAAAGAAGGTAAATATGATTAAATATCAAATTCATAATAAATTCAACTTAGATATAAAATTTTAAATAATATTTCACCTGGGACAGTAACTCTATATGACCAACATCCTCATCCTTGTATTCCTCAAAACTTCCAGTTAAAAGACCAGCAGGGCCTGGGAACTTCCTTTTACATTGAGAATCAAAATGCGAGTTAATAATTTTTCTTTTAGTGTGTTTGGGTGATATGTTACAGGTTTTTGCAAAATTGGAATCTTCAACATATGTATCTATATTATGATTATTAGCCTCTCCATATTTATCACGAGGTAAAATAGCTTTGCAAACTTTTGTTGGGCTTTTTTGTGTTTTACATAATACATTTTCTTTAATACTATCTGTGCTCGAAGATATTTTAGAACAAACTTCTGGTAAATCTAGCTGAGACAAAACCTGTAAATGCAAAAAATGTTATCAGAAATATAATAAGTCCAGAAATATGATTATTCAGTAGCCTACAAGCGGATTAAAGACCTGGTCAAAATCGTCAGATTCAAACATAGTGTTTTAGAAGTAATCGGTAGTTCAAAAATAATGATAGCAGGTTGAGTTTGCATACAAACTGCTGAGGTAATTTTATGAAAATGAGTTAAGATACTTGAGTCACCATTAATTATAATAAATAGTTAAAGGAAAAGCACGTATGTCTCAACTAATTACACTTTTTATCACAGAGTTTTTTAATATATTTTTAGTTTTAAAGCTAAAGTTATTTACTTGTAGTATGTAGGTGTTTACCACAGAACACTATTACTCCTAGGTGTTTACAATTTATGATTTTTGATTGATGTCAAGCAATTTGTCAGTCATGTCAAGTTCAATGTGGTTAAGATTCGCCAATTAAATCAGGCGAAGGTCTTAGACCATACAACCTACCATTACCCATTATAACAGTGGTAGAGCCACGCGGCAGCTTTGCTATTGCACGTATGGGCCGGCTCAAACCGGGTTAGTACCACGACCTCACAGAATACCGGCGTGAAGTGGAAGCTCCGCTTCCGCGTTTCGTCTGGTGAGTGCAGTGGCCTGTTTATCAAAACTCACTAGTCTACTTGTTCACAAGTTACACTTTACAAGAAAGTTTTTACAAGTTCGAGTAAATTACGTTATCAAAAAAAATCTACAGGGCTTGTAAAATTTAACACTTGTAGGTTCTACTTGTAATTTATAAAATCAAAAACGTGTGCCGCATTCTTTTTCCCGCCATTTTGTTTTTGCTTTTTATTGAATCCTTCCTTATTTAAACGCATGGCTGTATGGTATATCGTCTGTGCCTGATTTTGATGGGACATTAAAAAAAAGTAGTAGCACAGGTAGTAGCGACAAAGTATTTCCTCTTTTCATATATAATTTGAAGCGTATTCGCGGCGATATTTTGCGATTTCTTGTAAAACGTCTAGAAATGATAATAAAATAACGATTTTACAACTGATTCGCGACAAAAAGTTCTATAAGTCGAAACCTTCCATTAAATTCATAGGTCGTCTCCATATGACCGTAGACAATTCTTGTTCTATATGTTCTTGGTTCCATTATTCTAATATTTCCATCATCGCTTGAGTTACTTGACTACATTTTAAAAAGGACAATCAAATTAAAAAAATATTACAGTACTACTTAAAACACTTGTAAGACGGAATGGAGAGTCACTGGACACTCTTTGGATTTGCTATGATTTTCTACAAATTGTAACTTACAAGTGATTTTTGATAAACAAAATTACGAATACAACTGTAAAAATATACTTGTGAAATAAGTAATGACCCTTGTAACTTGTAATTTACACGTGCAGTTTTGATAAACACATATTTGTAATAATTAATTTTTTTACAGGAAAATTGTTTGTAATACAAGGCTTAAAAATTTTGATAAACAGGGCACAGGTGGCCGAAGGCCCAAATCCTCCCCCCCTTAACATGGTAGAGGAATTAAGTGAAGATCTACCCCAGGAGGTTACCAGCACCCTGGAGAATCCCTCGCTGAGCATCCACGATCAAGTTACTCCACTCCTGAGCGTGGGTGCTCAGGCTGCCCCGCGTATTCTGAGGGGGGGGGGGAGAATTCCGCTCGAGACTACAACTGCTCGGGGAAAACGGAGCAACAAGACCAAGGCGATCCCTGCCACGCTATCCGTGAATTTCTGCAATATCAGGGGACTTCACTCTAACCTAAACGCCGTCCACTACCACCTCGAGACGGCGAGGCCGGCTCTGCTCTTTCTGACCGAGACGCAGGTGTCCTCTCCGGCTGATGTCTCGTATCTCTCCTACCCGGGGTACAAACTGGAACACTCCTTTGTGCCTCGGGCTGGAGTTTGCGTTTACGTCAGAGAGGACATCTGTTCTCGACGCCTCGGCAGACTTGAAGGTTCGTACCTGTCCATCCTTTGGCTACGCGTAGACAGCGACGACCACCCGCGCATCTACGGGTGCCTCTATAGGTCCCATAGCGACAACGCCGAAACAGACCGACTCTTTGACCACGTCCAAATGGCTACGGATTCGTTGCTACAGCAGATCCCCTCCGCAGAGATCGTGATCCTCGGCGACTTTAACGCCCATCACGCCGAATGGCTTGGTTCGCGCTTAACCGATCATGCGGGGCGATCTGTTCATGATTTTGCCTTGGCATATGGTCTGACACAACTGGTTACTTCGCCTACGCGGATTCCAGATGTGGAGGATCATGCACCTTCCCTGTTGGACTTTCTGCTGACCTCTCACCCAGACGGATATCAGATTTCCGTCGACGCCTCTTTAGGCTCCTCGGACCATTGTCTTGTCCGGAGTGTGGTGCCACTCACGCTGAAATCGCAGTTACATTCTGCAGGCTGCCGACGTGTTTGGCACTATAGGTTAGCCGATTGGGATGGGATGCGTTCTTTCTTTGCATCCTACCCTTGGGGGGCGGGTTTGCTTCTCGCCGGACGATCCCAACTTTGTTGCGGATTCTGTCGCTGATGTGGTACTTCATGGTATTGAACTTTTTATGTGACTTCCTCTGTGATGGCTATTGGAGGCAAATCTCAGCCATGGTTTGGTCGCTTCTGTAAAATAGCATCAAACAAGTGCTACCAAGCCTGGGCTGAGGCATCAACGTCCCGGGAAGTAAACACCAGCGCTTTAAAAAAGAAGTATAATTCCGCCTCTAGGTCCTTCAATATATCTTGCCAAGGCAAAGTCAGAGGACATAGGCAGAATTGGCGAGAAACTATTCTCTTCCTTCTTAACCCGTACATTCTAGTCTCTCGCCAAGGCTCTCCAGGGGAATTTCTGTCAGCCATCTATTCCATCTCTGCACAGGGTGGACGACTCACTGGCCCATACCGCAAAGGAGAAAGCCGATCTGCTAGGCTCTTTCTTTGCGTCCAACTCGACTCTCGATGACGGGGGGAGTACGCCGCCGAACATCCCGCGGTGTGGGTGATCCATGCGGGAAGTGCAGTTTACACAGCGCTCGGTTCACAAAGCACTCCTCTCCCTGGACATTCACAAGTCGAGTGGGCCTGATGGAATCCCCCCAATTATGCTGAGGACGAGTGCTCCAGAGTTGGCACCGGTTTTAACGCGTCTTTTCCGGTACTCCTACTCCCTAGGCGTAGTCCCAAAATCATCGAAGACTGCTTTCGTCCACCCGATCCCTAAAAAGGCGACCGCTCAGACCCGTCCAACTACCGGCCTATCGCCATCACCTCCTTGTTCTCCAAAACAATGGAGTCCATTGTCAACTGCCAGCTCGTGAGGTGCCTTGAAGATCACCCGCTGATTATTGACCGCCAATACGGTTATCGCCGTGGTCGATCAGCTGGTGATCTTCTGGTTACCTAACTCATAGATGGGCGGAGGCAGTAGAGTCCAAAGGGGAGGCATTGGCCGTTAGTTTCGACATTGCCAAGGCCTTCGATCGGGTTTGGCACAAAGCGCTTCTTTCGAAGCTCCCTTCCTATGGGCTTCCCGAGGAATTGTGCGATTGGATCACCAGCTTTCTTGCAGATCGGAGCATCAAAGTCGTTGTAGATGGTGCAAGCTTCGATTACAAGCCTATTAATGCTGGTGTTCCACAAGGCTGCGTGCTATCACCAACGCTGTTTCTTCTGCATATCAATGATATGTTGCAAACCCGTAATATTCATTGTTATGCAAATGACAGCACTGGTGATGCTCTGTACACCGACCGTGCCAATATTTCTCGGGAAAACGTCTCCGAGTACCGGGACAAACTTGTGTCTGAAGTCGAGTCTTTGCTGCACAGAGTCTCGGATTGCGGGCGACTAAATCTAGTCCAGTTTAACCCCCAGAAGACACAAGTTTGCGCGTTAACCGCTAAAAAGAACCCCTTTGTCGTATCTCCCCAGTTTCAAGGCACTCTCCTTGTTGCCTCTGCCAATATCGGTATCCTCGGCGTTGACATATCGAGTGACGTGCAGTTTCGTGGTCACTTTGAAGAGAAGGTCAAATTGGCCTCTAAAAAGCTTGGCGTGCTCAGCAGAGCGGGACAGTATTTCATGCCGGCACACCGCCTGCAACGTTACAAGGCGCAGGTTAGGCCGCACATGGAATACTGTTCCCATCTCTGGGCTGGGGCCCCCCAGTACCAGCTCCTTCCACTTGACCGCATCCAGCATAGAGCGGCTCGAATCGTCGACGACCGAGTGCTTTCCGATTGGCTCGATTCACTGGCGCTGCGAAGAGATGTTGCATCTCTTTGCATTTTCTTTCGCATATACCATGGGGAGTGCTCTGAAGAATTGTTCGGATTAATCCCAGCCGCCAAATTTCGTGAACGCACTACGCGGCAAACGTCCCGATACCATCCACACCATCTGGATGCTTGGCGGTCCACCACTGTACGTTTCACAAGGAGTTTTCTTCCGCGTACGACCTCTCTGTGGAATAGTTTACCACCGTGGATTTTCCGGACCGATACGGCCTGGGGATCTTTAAGAATAGAGCTTACTCCTTTCTAAGAGGCCGGCAACGCACCTGCAATTCCCCTGGTGTTGCGGTTGATCATGGACGGCGGTAGGCACTTAACATCAGGAGAGCCGCATGCTCGTTTGCCCCCTCTTCTATATAAAAAAAAACCTAATTTGTATTTTGTTCACAAATCTTTTTAAAATTTGCTGATTCGTCACATTGCAGTTTTTGAAAACTTTCGACGACAGCTTAACCCAGCGGATGGTTGATAATGATAATACCTCAAGGACTGTATGGTCCTAACCTTGGAAAAATAATTATAAACTAAAGTTAGGTCTAAGTAAGTCCTCCAAGATATTTTTAAATTCATGATTTCGAAATATTTTGCTTACACATAGATACTTTTTAATACTACTATTCTCTCTAAGTGAGATGGTTCTCCTCATAGAGATATATACATTCATATTAGTTAAAATATCGATATCAGCTGCGCATATATTGCTGAATTACAACCCTATAAAAGAATAAAAGACGGTCATTTTATGCGCCAGATTTTTGTAGGTTGGTCCATAGATAAATAAATATGTAGCATGGGTTGGTCACGCTATTTCTGTAGGTAATATACTTCTAAGTCAATGATTCTCCTTACTTGTCCACTTTATTTATCATTCATTTCACTCACTCCTTTCATTCGTTAAGTTAGGACTTAGGAGATTGATTTTCATTTCGTTTTATGCTTTTGATAGAATAGCATTTATTATATTTTGTTTTTGAAACTATAAGAATCACAGACATATTTTAAGCAAGATAAGAGTTTCATGTCGACAAACTTTTTTGTGCAGACCTCATTTCAAGAACTACGAGTATAATAGGTTTATTCATAAAACTGATACTATAGTTTCAAGGGGGGCTAATGGTTTATAACTTTATGAGATATGGAGAATACTCAAAACTGTTCGTGTAAATATACACATTACCGTGCCAATATGTTCTACTTTTTTTACTTGCTTGACATACTGCGTATGTTTAAAAAAACCTTTCGCGTGTAATTTTTTGCCACATGTCTTTAGGTATTATCGTGAAGGTAACAAACGTGATTACTTGTTAATATTTTCAGCTAAACGCTATAACTGTTCAGTTTGTTAAGTGTACAGTTGCGTTATGGTCTCACTTTTAGGCAGTAAGTAAAACAAGATACCTTCTTCAGCATCCCATCAAACAAAACACATACATTTTTAAGTACGACTTGGTTTTGGAGTAGGTTTTATGGTTTCACTTTTAACCACTTACTTCCTTTTGCGAATGAGTTGTAGTAAATACCTACTATAAGTAGGCTACTTCTTATCACGCGTAACTAGATTTATCAACCAGCCTGTAATGTTACGGAGATAGAGCAATTACTTCATATTTAAGACCCAAAAGCTAGGAGGATCAAAATGGTTGCGTTAAAAATTATTATGTGAAACGAAGTAATTTTTAAAGTAAGCTTTCTAACAACGGCTAGTTCTGAAGAACTTTAAGTGATAAATGCTATAGATTCCACAATAATCATTATAATAGCTTTTAAAACTTCACTACTGAAGAACATAGGCCTAGATTACCTTATAGAAATTCGCCATAGTTGTTGTCACGTTAGTCATGCGAGTTGGAAACCACAGTATTTTTTTAAATTTTGAGTTGTCATCAGGAAGATGCTATTACCCATTTTCTCTTTAGTTTCCCTCTATCACCTCTTACAGCACCCTTTTGACGGGGTAGGATAGTGGATATTCCTACACCTCCGCGCACACTACACGATAAGATAGGTTAGGTCATAGGTATATGATAGATTTAGATAATTGTATTGGTCTTAACCATAGGCAAACGTTACAACTACAAATTTCTAGCAAAATGAACACTTCCAAGCAAGTTTCCAAAGTTAAAAGGTCATTTAGTTATTTTTATTTATTCTATAACAGACATTGATATGCTCAAATTCATGGTCGTGCAACAAAGCCATAGAATACTTTAATACATCATAGAATACTTTATTACATAAACAATGCCAACCCTAGTTTTTATCCAATCACTTTTATGGAAAAAAAAACAAATTGTATATTTTGACACTGATTTTTTAAAAACACAAATTTTTAGTTATTTTTAAATATCATTAAAATTTTTAGTACCACTTCCAATTTAATATTTATTGCCTTTGCCAAGTGAAATGAGTGCTTCTGATATTATTAATCCTGTAAGAGACTTGACGCTTGGATTGAAGGAAAAATATATAGGCGATATTGTAGAATGGTTTGATAAAAATTCAGAGGCCTTTCTTTTAAGAGATAGTAAAGAATCAATTAACGTTATAACCATTGAAAAGTTAATGCAGTTTTTGGAACTAAAGAAGTCGAGTATTAAACTAATTTAAAATTATTTTACATATTTTAGATTTTTGTAAGATACAACGTATTTATTCAAGATGACATATTTTTCTTCTCGTCAGGTAGAAGACAGCCTTTATTTTTAACTTTAGCGTCAATTTTATGAACAAAAATATGGAATATTAATGAAAACATTGGCTTACAATCGATATGCACACAGTTAAACGAAACTAAACATAAAAATATAAAACGGAGCCAACAATGATTTCAGTTATCGTTATAAAGTCGTACTTCACTTATGCCTCACATATTTTGGGCTGCTTCCTGTCATCAGTCTAATGGTCGCCACACACGGTCAGTTCAACTGATCATTCCAACTGATCAGTTCAAACTAAAACTGTTGATATTTTTTAAAATAATGTATTTTCCATATATTATGTCGATCATTATAAAGATATTAATATCGGAGTTTTAGTTTGAACTGATCAATTGGAATGATCAGTTGAACTGACCGTGTGTGGCGACCATAAGGATTTTATATTATGTGATATTTTACAAGGTAGACCACAAGATACTTTTGGGCTTTCGTTTAATCAACTTTAGTGACGCCCATCGGGTACAAAGTATTATTACCTGAAATATGAACGCAATAGTTTCACTAACATTGTTACTACACAGCTTACATGGATGATATTGATTTTTACAGATTTCATAGAAGAGAATTTTACTACCCAAGCTATGGAGAAGTTATGGCAGTAGTAGAAAAACTAAAAAATTATTTCCCAAGAGTTTTAACAAAAGAACAAGTATTAATTATATTAGATAAATGGGTTATTGAAGCTAATATAAAACATGAATTAAAGCTGGCCTATAGAGTACGTGTATTATAATGTAATCAAAATATATATATATATATATATATATATATATGAACTTTGGTGCATATGTTAGTAGTCACGTAGCTTCTGAACGATACGATAACATGTCCCATTGACATCCAATCTGTTCCGACAGGTGTCGCCATAGTAAGTTTATTAACAAATTCTACATGTACTACCAAACTAATTAGAATTGACAACATAGGCTTTGTGCCAAAAAATAAAATCATAAAATCTGGTTGCACTATGATCAAGTTGTTGCTAAAGTTTAAATTTACACTGTAAAATTTCTGAACAAAATTCGGGGTAAAACTCATCACGCCACCTACAGAATTTCAGAAGAAGCTCCTGCAGAGCCAGCAAGTAGTTTAACGGATGAGTGTAAATTTGATTTGATTTTTGTGGTAAGTACAGCTAATCTGCAGCTGTTGAGGGTATGAGTGGGTCGGTTCAACTGGGGAAGAACGACGCCTGTAATACGAGTATAGTGCTGCAGTGTTTCGAGGAGTCGAGGGGTGGAAACCAAAATCTCTTTTTTCTGGTAATGAGGCCGTCCATGTTTTTCCTTAGGGGCAACAGTGTGTTTAGATTGTGATTCTGCAATAATGACAGGTGTAAGTATTTATTATATATTATTATTTATTAAGACTCGGCGTACAGACCAGCGTATAGTATTATCAATATGTGATATAGAATGTTAAAAAACAACATAAAAGTTAATAATTTATTTAGGTGATTATAATATGTATAGAACACAACTAGAACTAGTCTAGCCTCTAGCCTTTAGAAAATATTTTTTTTATAGAATAACTGTTAGAAACCATTTTCAATTATGCGTCTTATTAAACTGATTTAACGCTTTTTCTAACTAGATTTTTGACAGCGAAAGCCGAAATTATTTGGATCTAGATGAAATTCGACTCATAGTGACGGAATTTGGTGAACCTTTTAATGAAAATGAAACTTTAGAACTTCTGCGCGATGCTAATATTCGAGGAGATGGTAATGTATTTTATGAAGACTTTGTGGATTCGCTGTTTAATCTGGCACCTGAATTAAGTGAAATAAAGGCAAGTTATATCTTAAAAGTTTAAATGATTTTATAATTAAACAATTTTTTAACTTCCCATTTTCAAAATCAATAATTTTCAAAAAAAGAAAGTTATAGATTTCGGTCCGATTTTGGGTTTGAGTTCCAGGGATAACCTGTATGGTCAACTTTTTTTTAGATTTTTAATTTGAATTATTTTTGTAAATCTTAATATATATAAATTACGTGTCACGTTGTTTATCCGCGATGGACTCCTAAACTACTTAACCGCTTTCAATCAAATTTGCACATCATGTGCAGTTTGGCCCAACTTAGTAGTAGTCGAAAAGGGCAGAACATCGCCTGCCTGGAAAGCTAGTTTCTTGTAAATTTCACTCAAATTTATTTGATTTTAGGTAGAGTATTTATTCGAGGACCCAAATGAAGATCCTTCTGTGTAACATAGCACATTTATTTTCTACAAATAGTCTGAAGAAAGAGAGTCTGGTGCTAAAAAAAACCCATCGCTTTGGAGACAAAATAAAATTAAGGAAACACTTATTTTCTTTTGTTGTAATAAGTAATAGATGTCATTTTAGTTGTGTCGAGATATCAATATATACAGGTTTCTAAGTATTTCTACTTTTATTTATAACTAGTTATGCCCACACCTTTGTATGTGATAAATTTTTAATTATGCGTAGTTAAGTAAATGATATGTAATGCATGCCGTACTATGCAATGGCAAGTGATGCCGGTAAGAACGATGTACCGGAGCAAATGCCAGAAGTCTGCCTTATAAATCTGCGGTGAGTCGAGATGAAGACAAGTTGGACTGGTTTGCAGGAACTGAAGACTGCAGAAGACCATTCTTAGTAGTGAATTATAGGGGTTCTTGAGGATAATGACGAAGGCTTGAAGTTGTAGTTTCCGTAGGTTGTTGGTTGCCGTGTTCAAATCACGTCGGGTGGTTTTCACTGTGGCCGTGGAAGAAAAAGGGGAGATCTCCCGCCGGTGTTCTGCCCGGGGAGCAGCCAACGCTCCGTGTGATAGTTCGGAACTGTTCTATATATACTGTTTATGATTCGGAATTTTGGTAGCGCGATTTAGGTTTCGGTGTGTTTCGCTTGTGGCGCGACGATAGTGCCGCCACGTAAGTATTACTTCAACTAAGCTGTAAGCAAATGGACTGAAATCCGAATTCGTATGTACTATGCAATTTCCAACTCTCGCCGTTCGACGCTCGTATTAGGTGTAGAACGTTTCATAATTATTTCAAGTAAATTTAAAAAATATTTCATTAGTTTTTTGAGTCAATTAAAGGAGACAATCAATTTTTCTATGGAGAATGGGCCCACTACAAATTTTAAAGATTATCAATGAAATGCATGTCGATTTATTCCTTATAATCCATAGATTACAATAAAATTATTAGTTTTACTGCATCTAAACGGAGTCCTGAGAAATTAACAAATAAAATATGAATCTAACAATAACCTAAAAACAAACTGAAAGCGATTTTCTGGTAGTATTCATCGGTATTATAAGTTAAAATAGTGCACACTTGAATAATAGTACATATAAAACTAAGCTGTAGATATATTCAGCATTTATAAATATTTTAAAATCGATGTAAAACCTTTCACTAGTTCCGGCAAAACATAGTGCCTGTCTATGCACAAATGTCGTATGGATTCTAAGTTTGACATGTATTGATTGATTGTGAGTGTAATTCTAAATACCAAGATGGCTAAGGGATAATGTCTATTTATATTTATGATATTACCAACACACAGTAAGACGTTTTAAACTGGTTCATTACAAAAAACAAAAAACAATGTAGTTAATTCTATTTATTATTGTAAATCATAATTTATTTAAGTATTCTATATATATTATTCTATAACAGTAGTAGGTACAGAAACAGAAACCTTTTATTCAATTTAGATTATAAATAATACTTATTGAAAGTCACTTTTTTAATTTACCACTGGTTCGGAAAAAACCTCTGACTTGAAGAGAACCAGCAAAATACCCAGTGGGTCTTTTAAAAAAAGGCAGCTTACAATCATGTATGTCATAATTAACAACACAGAACAATTAGATATAGCTTGGTAGCGATCACCTTACCCATGGGTTATTGTCAGCCATAAATTCCTTTATACTATAATAACCCCTTTTATACAAACTTAATTTAATAAATTTTTTGAACTTTGATGATTGACTGACATATATAGACAGGAGCGGTGTCAAGACATTGTTTTAATATGTTTTGGTTGATTAGGAAGTAGTATACATCATAATAAAATGACTAGGAATTAACATGCCTTATCTATGTTATTACACAATGATAAATAGTGAGGAAGTAAGATGTTTCAAACTGTTTGTGTAAGGATTACAAAAACACAGGCTTAATTTAAATGTATTTATTACGATGCGGCTCAGCTGCAGCACTGGTGATTTATGGATCTCGACAACAGTGTCATCTACCGGGTCCAAATGTAAATATAAACCATCTAGGGATCCATCCAAATACACACAAACATCTTCATTGAAATTGGTTGGATGGTTTCTTATGTTTTGTCTATAACGGACATAGGTAGAAACATTTTAGTGTTAGATATATTTCTGAAGGTTTTTTGAAAATAACTTGGTAACATGTACATTTATGATATTGTAAGCAATCAGAAGGAATTTTCAATTATAAGAGATATGATATAAGACTGTTGTCTTCAATATCCATACACTTTTTGTCTCTGCAAGCTTTCAGCCTGCACGGCATACAGATTTGTTCTAAGCGATCCACCTGAAAAGAAATTAATGACAATTGTAAAGGTGTCTTAACTAAATAATAATTCTTATCAATATATTATTTTTTTCTATATTATATAGGAATTAAAAGGACATTTTTAATAATAAGAGATATGAGATAAGACTATGCCTTCAATGTCAATAAACTGTATTTACATATTTCTGTAAGCATTTTCTTATATCTGCCTTTTCATATGTTAAATAATAAAGAAATTATTATAAACTATACAGCATTAATCAGCTCCAGCTGATCAAATACAGGAGCAGTAATTACTGATCAACATCTATGATATTCAACCATGTAAAAGTTGTCTCACATTTTATCTTTTCTGGTTTCATGTACATAGGAGACAAAGATATTATTGTTATATTAAGTATATCTGATTCTAGATGACAAAATAACATTCCTTTCTGCACAGTGAACAACACAGCTGTCTAAGCATAATAGATACAACCATTACACTTTTTTATGCAAACTATTATTATTAAACTTATATTTACATTTGCTTCTAGTACAAATAATTACTACATTTTTTACACATAAATATATTATGTAACATTTATATTGCCTATCTACTATGGCTAGTATAAATCCAGGATCTGTGTCTGGCTTAATGAAAAAGCCATTTAGTATTAAGCAACTTGCTGAATACATAAGGTACCTATTTGTACACAAATGTAGTTATATGAATTGCTTTTCAAAACCCTCTTTAAGTCCCTCGACCTAAAGATTCTTTTAACATTATAATAAATTATTTTGTGCATTTATTCTATTTATTATGTATTTAATTTAGATTTTACTAATAAAATAAACTTAATACTTTGTCACTTTTAACAAACTAATAAGGTTCTAAGACCTGTTTATTATTTGTATTTATTTTGTTTTAGGTAAAATATACAAAGTTAATAATAGATTTTCACAACCTAGAATAGGTGTAAATTAATAAACTCTTATATTCTATTTGCGAATTTTACCACAAAAACTATAAAGAGAAAAACATACGTACTTGTGTCAATTAATATTTGGCTAACCTTTCTGATAATTGATAATATCCATATTTTCTTAAACATTAGTTTAATAATGCTTGTAAATAAAAACTCCATTTTGTTCTTAGTTCTTACCATAATGATGCGACTCCAACTATGTTTTATTTCACCCGAGTGAATCGAGTGAATTTGTCCAACTCGATAATCGATAGAAAATAAATTTTACCAAGTTACCGAGTTAACTCGGCGCATCGTATAGATTCAGAGGGTGCTATATAAATATTACTTCACTAATTTACTTGTATATATAATAAGTCGCTGCAGGTGACATCACAAGTTGCATCCAAATTCAAACTTGCATCTGGCATGTTGTAAACAAACCTGAATTTAGTTTTATTTATGATATTGATTTATAGTTTTAATTTCACATATTACTTATTTATAAAGGTACATATTTAAAAATTGTTTAACTAAAGTAATCGCTACTCTCAACTCTAGTGATAAACTTTTCTGTAAATAGTTGATTTACTCAAAAACTAGTGTACAACTAGAATGACATACATACATACTCGTAAATTAACCCGAGTGGCTCGAGTCACAAAACTCTACTCGAATCGCATCTTTATCTTACGGCCAATGCAGTGTTTGTCTACAATTTAGTGATTAAATCGACTTACTAATTCGAGCAATTTATTGATATATTATGTAATAAATAAATTGATATTAAGTAATATGTATATAATGTTGTATCAATTTATGTTATACATAATATAAATTGATTATATATACTTTGGATAGTCAAATTATTAATAACATTAAGACTTACGTCATAACGTTAGAGTGATATTATTTTATGAAGATATCGATACGCATACCAAAAATAATATATAACTACCTATTAAGTGTAGTAATAATAATTGTGTTGTATGGAAGAACAATTATAAAAATAATTTGTGACATATTGACACAGCTTCGTTCATCTAATTTGAATTGTTTAACTCGAGCTCAAAATCGAGTTACCTGAATTTCAACTCGATTCGATTTTTTCCGAGTTATCACGGCACATCTCTAAGACAATAATTTTTTAAATATTACATTACCTTAGCCAATGATCAGAACACGAATGTCAAAACAACTAATTTTTTTTTCAGATTTCTTGTTTCCGTTTACATTTTCGAAAAATCTATAGGCCATTTACTATTATAATTTGGTGTCTTTTTTTGGTGTAAATACCATTAAACGACGTTAATATTTCTAGTGGGCCCAAAAATGATTGTCTCCTTTACTGTAAAAGAAATAAAATACACTTATTTATCAAGAATCCTTATTACTCTTCAAAGGAATTTTCTTAAACGCGGAAACATAAAGATATATTTTGCGTGGTAGAACCACGTTGCAACTATATTATGGTTGTAGCAAGAATGGGTCGGCTCGAACGGGGTAGGACCACGCTCTTATAAAATACCAGCGTGAAATAGCAGCTTAATGCTGCTGTGTTTCGTATGGTGAGTGTAGAGAACTGGATACCGTTTTTATTGGAGGCAAAGGATTCTATCTTAGTTCTCAGGAGTGATAAAGCATCTGCATTTTGATTATTAATCGAGGATAAATGTAATGTAGATGACACAGCATCTACTTACAATCAGGTAAACTGTGCGCTCGT